AGGAGGAGGAGGAGGAGGAGGAGGAGGAGGAGGAGGAGGAGGAGGAGGAAGATGAGGAGGAGGAGGAGGAGTCCCTTTTCCCTCAGTGGGGCAAGCTGGCCACCTCTATCATCCCATCTTTCCCGTCTGGCGCGCGCGAGGGTAAAATAACAACGGTAAAAAAAAGAAGGGACCCTTCGCCGGAGGGACCTCCCCAGATCTCCGACCCCAGCCCGACCCCACGCACGAACCCGAGTCCACCTCCGAGCCCGAGCCCGAGCCAGGGCTCGAAGCCGAGCCCGAGCCCTCGGCGGACTCCTGCGAGCGCACCCTCGGAGGCACGGGCGGCAACGAGCTCGCTGCACGATCTGATGCTTTGTCAATCCGGGCATTCGTTGCTCGATGTCGGCTCTCGGGGGCCGTTTTCGTGGCCCTGGGGCCACCAGAAACGGAGCCGAGGCGCACAGCCACCCCCTGGGGGAAGGGGTCGGGGCGTTGGGGCCGCGGAGAGGGCAGGCCAGATCGGAGATCCTCGTGCGATGTCTAGGCTTGTTGCGGCCCGCAGGGGTCCGCGCAGGGTCTGGGCGGCTGGCCCCACGTCCTCGTCCGACGCGGAATTCGAGAGGTGCAGTCGGAGCCCTGAAGATGTTGGTCTTCCTCGTAGTCGCCGTCGCTCACGGGCGAGCCAGGGAGCCAGATTGGCCTGGCCAGGGGGCAGTGGATACGTATGACTTTCGTCGCCCTGCGTTTGGTTCTGGGAAAATGAGAACGCAAGGCAACTAGGCGCGCACGATAATGGACTCCTTGAGCGAGACAGTTGCGGTCGGATGCATGGGCGTGCTGAAGATGTCGAGACTCTCGGTGGCGTTGCCATCTTGGGCAGCGTGCAAGCTCATTTCCAACCTGTCTTCGTCGTCGAGCCGTCTTCGGCGCCCGATGTTCCAAACTCCCTAGGTGGCGCTCTCCCCCGCTTCCCCACATTCGATGCCCCTCTGCAGTCTAGAAGCGCTGACGGGAGCTCTCAAGAGAGCTCAGGCAAGCGCTCCTGGGCCTGATCGTCTCTCATATGCCGCATGGCTGTCTCGCCCTATTGCTGCCGCTTCTTTTCTGCGGTGTCCTGGAGCATATCCATGCTGGCGAATCTCCATTCGAGGCCAATCACTTCACGTTTGCGTTCTTGCCGAAAAGGCGACGGCGGGGGATGGGGGCGCAGAACAGGTCGCCAAGAAATGCTGAGATTTGCGCCCCCCAACGTCAAGAACAGCGACGTCAAACCGATCAGCTCTGCCATCATTTTCGCTCTCAACTGAGAGAGTTCACATAGCTCAGCAAGGTTGTATGGCCGCGTAGAATTTCGCATGCGACATCCCCACGCCCGACGTCGAAGCCAGAGGAGCCCATTGGCAACAGGGATAGCGGTGCGACTCAGCTGATTTTTGTTCTTTTGGTTTCAAAGCTGCGTTCCCGAGCTTGTGCAGAGTCTTGCTTGAATTAGTGCTTGTCCTCTGCGGAGTCCCTCCCGGGATCAGGCGGGCCATCGGGACCCTCTAGTTGGCCCCAGTTGCGTTTGCCAGGTTCGGAGGTGTGGACTTGGAGCCACTGCGCGAGCTTTCCAGTGGGGTCCTCCAGGGGTGCCCTCTGTCAGGGAGTCTTTGGGCCCTCGCAGTGGGCTCCGTCTCCCGCCTCATTCATGCCTCTCTTCTCGCTCTTAATGATGGCACGGTTCGCGCGTGTGCTGACAACGTCGGCTTCACTGCCCCGCATTGATTTGCCCTCTCCTATTGCGAGAGCATTTGAGGCAGCAGAGTCTCTTGCGGGGCTTGAGCCCCAGCCATTGAATGCGTACAAGTGCTTCTGCGGGCACTTGCTGAGCCTGCGATCAAGCGGCGCACTTTGGACGGCCTGCAGGCCGTGGAACCCAGGTGGGCTCGTTTCCAGTTGTCGGACCGTGTCAAATACTTGGGAGTCTGGTCAGGCCCAGGAGCGACCGCTCTCAAAAAGTAGCAAATCCCCATGGGGAAATCGTGGGGGTGCATCCATCTTGTTGGTGCTACCAGAGCTGTCCATCAGCCCTCACTTTGCATTATGCCACTTCTATCGTTCCGGCTCTCAGTTATGTTTCCCAGCTGTTCCATCTTATCCCGCGTTAGTCCAGCGCGATATCTATGGTCTGCATAAGTTTTATCGCATGTCTCCCAAGTCAATGAAGAGAGCTGGCCTTCTCTCTTCAAAGTTGTGGTGCCCAGGTGGAGGTCCAGGCTCTACGATTGCACTGCGCGTTGCCTCTCTCTGGCGCACCTGCGCCGCGACTCAGCGGCTGGAGTGTTTCTCTCGAGAGGCAGCGCGCTGCAGCAACCGACAATGCGCCCGCTGTCAGACTCTGCCAGGGTTTTCTGTCGCCTCCTTTTGGCTGGGGGAGCGGCGTGCCATCGTCCAGAGGTGTGCTGAAACGTGCGTCTGCAAACCATTCCAGATTTGTTGTTCGTGCACAGCTTCCTCTGCAGCGCAGCGTGCTGCGATCAGAGTGGGCAGGGCAGAGGTCGCTCGTGTCGAGTGGTTGGAGCGGGGAGGGGGACCGAACGTACACCGACCCTTCGCACTCTAGCTATCGCGAGAATGATATCCCGAACACTGCTACGGCACGCTGCGCCGATGGTCGAGCAAATGGTTCCCCGGCATTGGGATTCCCGAGGAGCTTGTTTCCAGATGGTTTGTTGCTGTCCTTTCCTAAGCGAGTGCAAACCTGCCATTGGCTGGTGTGCTTTCAGTGCGTGGAGCTCGTTGCTGAGCTTCTGGCGGCCGCTTCACGGTGATGTTTTGGTGCGGTTGGGGCTCGGGGGAGAAGCGGCGCACCGAGGGCAGCACTCATTCGGCTATGTTGCTTGCTCTTTTTTTGGTTTTTGTTTCTCTCTCTCTCTCTCTCTTTTTCTCTGTTGCCTTATACGTTTGTCATGCCGTAGAAGGGGAAGATCGGCACCCCCATCACGTTTACGTCAGTGCTCCTGCTGCCGCTCCCTTTCGTGCTTGCGCCATCCAGTGATTGCGTGGGGTATCGGTGACCAGGATTCTTCAGAGGACGTTCGCTCGTCCTCATCCCCCCTCCTCCTCCTCCTCCTCCTCCTCCTCCTCCTCCTCCTCCTCATCATCATCATCATCATCATCATCATCATCATCATCATCATCATCATCATCATCATCAGCATCATCCCCCCTTCCCCCTCCCCCCCTCCTCCCTCTTACTTCCCCCCTCCCCCCTCCTCCTCTTGCCCCCTCTTCCCCCTTCCTTCCTCCTCCTCCTCCTCCTTCGCCTCGCGAGACTCCGCCTCTTGCGCAGGCTGGGACGGCGCCGGCAGAGAAGCCCGCGGAGGGGGTGCGTTTTTTCTTCCCTTCGGTGTGTATGTGCGTGTGTGTGTGTGTGTGTGTGTGTGTGTGTGTGTGTGTGGGTGCGTGTGTGGGTGCCATGGCCAGGGCCTGCCACCCCCTCGGACGTCAGACCCCGCTCCTCTCCCTGCCGTGCGGGGCGTTCCAGCCGAGGCCTCGAGGAGAGGCCCTGGCTCCTCCGCCCGGGCCCCGGGAGCAGGAGGAGGAGGAGGAGGAGGAGCAGGAGGAGGAGGAGGAGGGCCCAATTCGTTGGGCCCAATTCGTTGGCACCTCACTCCTCTCGGCGCAAGGGCGGCGGGCGGCCGGCGGAGGGGCGGCGGCGGAAGCAAGCGGCGGGCTCCGCCGACGGACGCCGGCGGAAGGCCTGCGGCGGTACACCATCGGCTTGGGTGCTCCAGATTTCGTAATAAAAGGAAGGGGGTCTGGACCCTCCAAGACAAGCCATTTCAGACCTCCCCTGTGGGGGAACCCTCCAAAACATCGTCCCCAGACCCCCCAGGCCCTCCGAGATAGCCTGGAAGAGACCCCCCCCCGAAATGAGACCCCCCTCCCTTTATTACGAAATCTGGGGTAGCAAAGCAGGGGAGCCTGGTGCACACATTGTTCATGTCCGATTCTTCGAACGTTCTTTGAGTTTCTTTTGGGGGCCAGTCTCCTTTCATGTCTGATTGAGCTATCCTGGGCCTCTTCCTGGCTACTGGGGGGCCAGGAACAGTTAGAAACGAGAACAGTTAGAAATGAGCACGATTAGGAATGAACGTCGTGTGCCCTCTGAAATCCGTCTTTAGCGTCGACCAGCGTCGACTCGCGCCTGGTAGTCGATGAGATAGCTCCGACTTAGCGTCGTGTAGCGCCGATCGGCGTCGATTCAGCGTCGATTCAGCGTCGATTTAGCGTCGATTGACCGTCGATTCGCAAGAGCCGACAAGATTGTATGGGAGTCTCCCATGAGCTGCCGCCGACATCGGCTGCAACCGTGTAGGGTTTAGAGTTTTCTGGAAACCGCCATACGCTCCCTGTCCTCCCCCACCACCCGCGCACATGCCTCGGGACACGGTGCGCCAGCCCCCCGCTTCCTGGCTCGCCTTTTGGGCTCGCCGAGTGGCTGTTGGCGCCGCGAACAGGTCAAGACAACATTTTTTCCTGCTCTCGCACGATTTATGGGCCTTCTGTGGTTTTTTCCATTCCAGGAACATGGAGAACACCCCAGGATGGACACCAAGCCCAAGGGAAGGGATCGATAGCCCCTGGAGCCCACGTCACGAATAATCGTGACGTCGGAAGGGGGAGGGGACGATGATGGACATACATAAGAATATGTATGAAGATTGTGGTGATATTGTTATTGATGGTGATGGTGGTGGTGACGATGATGATGATGATGATGATGATGATGATGATGATGATGATGATGATGATGATAAAGAAGTTAATGCTGAGTATGCGCATGATGATGACTACGCTGTTGCTGCTACTGGTGATGGCGATTGCGATGATGATGATGCTGATGATGATGATGATGATGATGGTGGTGGTGGTGGTGGTGATGATGATGATGATGATGCTGCTGCTGATGATGATGGTGCTGATGGGGCTGATGATGATGCTGATACTGATGATGCTGATGATGCTGATGATGACGAATATGTTGATGATGCTTCTGATGATGCTGCTGCTGATGATGCCAATGATGGTGATAACAATGAAGCCGATGACTCTGATAATGATGATGCTGATGGTGGTGGTGGTGGTGGTGATAATGATAATGCTGATGACGATGTCGATGACGATGAGGAGGAGAAGGAGGAGGATGTGGATCAGGACGATCATGCTGGTGAGCGTAAAATAGCTGGAACTGGTGATGTGGCGTATAACGATGATGCTTATGTTGGAGTAACGATGTTGCTCATTATGACGAGGACGATGATGACGATGGCGATTATGATGATGATGCTGATGATTCTGCTGCTGATGATGATGAGTATGATTCTGATTCTGATTCCGAATACGATTACGGCTACGGCGCTGATGACGATGCTGCTGGCGGTGGTGGTGGTGGTGGTGGTGGAGATGATGATGATGATGATGATGATGATGATGATGATGATGATGATGATGATTATGGTGCTGCTGCATATTATGATGATGCTTATGCTGACAATGCTGACGATGATGCTGAGGCTGCGGATGATGATGATGATGATGATGATGATGATGATGATGATGATGATGATGATGACCATGCTGCTGCTGCTGCTGATGATGATGATGATGATAATTACGATGATGATGGTGCTGATGTTGTTGATGATGACGACGACGGCGGTAATGATGCTGCTGCTAATGATTATGATGATGTTGATGATGATGATGATGAATGATGATGATGATGATGATGATGATGATGATGATGATGATGATGATGATGATGATGATGATGATGATGATGCTGATGATGATGATGATGATGATGCTGATGATGATGATGCTGATGATGCTGGTGATGATGATGCTGTGATGGTGATGGACATGATGACGAGCGATGGTGGTGATGATGTGTGATGAATATGATGGAGATGATGATGAGAGCTGATTGTGATGTTGAAGATGATGAATGGGGGGGTGGTCATGATGAATGGCGATGGTCATGATGATTAGCGATGTTGGAAATGATGGCTGCTGCTGAGGAGGAGGAGGAGGAGGAGGAGGAGGAGGGAGGAGGAGGAGGAGGAGGAGGGAGGAGGAGGAGGAGTTGCAGGAGGAGGAGGAGGAGGAGGAGGAGGAGGAGGAGGAGGAGGAGGGAGGAGGAGGAGGAGGAGGAGGAGTTGAGGAGGAGGAGGAGGAGGAGGAGGAGGAGGAGTTGCAGGAGGAGGAGGAGGAGGAGGAGGAGGAGGAGGAGGAGGAGGAGGAGGAGGAGGAGGAGGAGGAGGGACGGCGCCCGTACTCCAGATTGCGCCACACCCTCCGCCCCCACCGGCTCTGGCCTCAGTCCGGAGGCCTCCGATGGGTCCGCGGGGCCGCGGATGCAGCATGCCTCCCGCTCTCTGTGGGCCACCGCGCCTCTGCACGCGCGTGCTCCCGTTGTCGGAGCGTTCCCTGCCCCTTCGTTTCTACCCCGGGAGCGGGGTGGCCCTGGCCCGAGCGGGCGCCACCGCTGTCGTGGCCGACGCCCCGCCCGCTCGCCCCCGAAGGCCGCTCCACGGTGGCTCCAGGAGGGAAGGATGAACTACATCCCGCTCCTCCTCCTCCTTCTCCTCCGTCTCGGTCCCCCTCCAGATCCTCCTCCTCGTGCTCCTGGATTTCCCTCCTCGATCCTCCTCCTCCTCCTCCTCCTCCTCCTCCTCCTCGATCCTCGATCCTCGATCCTCGGTCCTCCTCCTCCTCCTCCTCCTCCTCCTCCTCCTCCTCCTCCTCCCTCTTCAGCACCGCCCGAGGCCGCCGCCGCCGCCCCGTTTTGCTTCCGCCGCCTTCCGTTGGCTTCCGCTGGCGGAGCCGCCATAAGACGCCCACTTTTGATTTCTCGAAAGCGTGGCCTTTTCTGGAACGCCTCAGATATGTACAGTGAGCGGCTTGAATAAGGATCACTTAGGTCGTTCCTTAGGCTCGGTCGTTCCTTAGGCTTGCATGCGTTATTTACAGTTCCTTATGCGTTATTTGTTCTTCATCGTTCCTAATGCGTTATTTCTTGGGATGAAAAAGGGGCTTCGTTCCTTATTTATCGTTCCTTAGGTCAGGCCGATGACTGTAGGCAAGCAATCTCTATATACTCCGACGCTTTTTCTGGCCCTGCACGGAAAGTAGCACAGGATAACGCATCCTGGCGTACACGGTATCCTGGTGTATGCAGTCATTCGATGTTTTCACGGGAAACCGAAACAGCAAGTACATACCACACCACACCGACGTCGTCCCCGACCTTCAAAAGGTCCTGGGATTGAATGACAGCCCGTCATTGGTACTCCAAATCCCTTAATAATCGTCCCCCGAGTCCGGTTTAAAAGGCGCCTTTTTTGTAACTGGGGGGTCCGGTTGATTAGGGCCCTTTCTGTGGATTGGAGCACAGGGGTCCGTTTTATTAAGGCGCCCCGTCGAAGAGGGGGGTCCGGTTTTTTAGGGGGGGGGCGATTAATGAAGGATTTGGAGTAATGTACACGTTCCAGCTTCCGACGTGCCTCCCGCCAGCACTGCCCGAGGCCGCCGCCGCGGGCGTCGCCGGCGTGCCGTTCGAGCACGTGGTCCTGCGCTTCCTCCGCGCCGACCGCAAGGAGGCGCTGCTGGAGTACCTCCAGCGCCGGCTGCACGCCTGCCGCCCGGAGGATGCCTCGAGGAGGGAGGAGGAGGAAGAGGAGGAGGAGGAGGAGGAGGAGGAAGAGGAGGAGGAGGAGGAGGAGGAGGAGGAGGAGGAGGAGGAGGAGGAGAAGAATGAGGGTCGAGGAGGAGGATCGAGGAGGAGGAGGAGGAGGAGGATCGAGGAGGAGGAGGAGGATCGAGGAGGAGGGTCGAGGAGGAGCATCAACTAGGAGGGGGAGGGAGGAGGAGGAGGAGGAGGAGGCTGGTCAAGGTTCGAGGATCGAGGAGAGAGAAGCGAGGAGCGAGGATCGAGGATCGAGGATCGAGGAGCGAGGAGCTAGGATCCTGGAGGAGGAGGAGGATCGAGGAGGAGGAGGAGGATCGAGGATCGAGGAGGACAAAGAGGATGGTCGATGTGCTTTTTCAAATCTTTTGGAGGGGGCCTCCGTGGACGGGAGACCCAGCGGAAATCGTCTTCTGTTCAATGGCGTTGTTTCTTTCTCATCTCGGGTTCCAGGCCGTGTTCGGGACCCAAGACACTTACAGAAGACGATGCAGTGCGAAGAGCACCGGCCGCCTGGAAGGGGTCGGGAGCCCTGGGGCCCACGGCCGTTGGGGCCATGCCCTCTCTCATGCCTTCGACTAGCCAGGACCCTGAGGGCAGCGCTTCGTGCAGGCATCTCATCTCACCTCTTCGCCCAATTCGGCATTGGAGCCAGCGCTTCGGCCAGAAATAGGTGGAGACGCGCTTGCACCAGCGGGGGCCCCGCCCAGGCGAGCCGCCATGTCCCGTGTGACCTTCAGGCCTCTGGTGTCCTGTATGTCATACGATGATGCTGGCCGTTTGCGTAGGACACCTACTCCAGGAGAGAGCCACTCGATGCCAGGAGCGCGAATAGCTCAGGGCACGACGCGTTTACTTGCTCCTGGTTAAAATTGTTCTGAACAAGGTGACCTGCTTGCAACCAGCACCTGCGTACGGTTCCATAGGACACACACACACACACTCCAAGAGAAAACTGCTCGATGCAAGGAGCGCGAACAGCTCAGGGCAGAACGCGTTTATGTTCGCCTGGTTGAAACTGTCCCGAGCAAGCAAGCCTGCTTGCAACCAGCACCTGCGTACGGTTCCGTAGGACGCCAACTCCAGTAGAAAACCGCTCGATACCAGGAACGCGAATAGCTCAGGGCAGAACACGTTTACGTGCGCATTGTTAAAGCTGTTCCGAACAAGCAAACCTGATTGTACCCAGCACCTGCGTACGGTTTTCGTACGGCATCTACTCCAGGAGAAAGCCATTCGATGCCGCGAGGGCCAGCAGCTCAGGGCAGAACCTGGCTAAACTTGTTCCGAACAAGCAAATCTGGGACGGGGAGCCCCCAGCACTTCCCTGGCTGTGGGCCTCGAAACCTGCAGCCGCAGCTCTCCGCGGACGCGCGCACGCGCACGCGCGACGGCGCTCTCTCAATGGCACGCTGCACCGCACGCTGCACCGCGCGCTGCGCGACCCGCGGCTGCCGCCGTCCTAGCGGTGCCGCAGCCGGCACGCCGCAGGCGTGGCGCGTGCGCCGCTGTCTTGCGACCCGCCCAGCCTTGCGGCTGCAGCAGGGTCCGAGTGCGCCTGCCCTTCGCGGCGCGTGCGCGCGCACGGACGCGGCGGCCTGTCCTTGCCGGGAGTCTTGTCGCACCACATATTCCCCCCTTCCCTCCCCGTTCGGGGAGACGAGAGGGCCGCGTCGCAGCGAGTTCAGGCCCAAAATAACCGCGCTTCTCGTCAATGCGAAGATGGACCTGGCCCCCCCCCTCTGGCCATCTTCCGGAAATGTGGGGGACTTGTCAGATCGCTGCCCAAGTGTGCTCAGGACACCAACTCGCTTGCCCGCGCTGGCAAGTGGGCCCAGCGTCGACCGCAGGGCGAGCGTAGCAAGACACCGCCAGGATGACCGCACCTCACCCTCTCCAAGTCTCGCGCGCAAGTCGTGGGGCGCCGATCCTGGGAAAGCGCCGCCGCAAGCCAGCGGGCAGCTCGCAGTGCCATGCGTTGCGGTGGTCGTCGCTGGCAAGCCGACGGATCTGGATGCGTCCACGTCCGCCTCCACTTGGATGGCGTCTGCCTCCACGCCAGCGTCGCGGACGCCTCCATCAGTTGCGCCGGCGCGTCCACCGAGCTCAACCTACCGATCTTGGGCGCCGCTCTGGTGGCCTTCGTGGGCATCTGCTTCTTCTGGCCCCGCGTGGGCGCCCGCAGCCGCTGAACATGCGCCCGCTGCCGCGCCCGCGGCGCGCCATCCCCGAGGCGGAGAGGGGCTCCGGCTCCCGCGACAAGAGGCGCGTCGGCGGCGTGGCGCCGGGTCTGGGCCGCCGCGTGCAGGGGGCCAGTGCGTTCGCCGCACGGGCGCCCCGTGGCCCAGCTGCAGTCGCCACCGGGGGAGGTGGCGCCCGAGGGTCGCCTCTCTTCGCGCGGCGCGGGGTCGCCTCGGCAGCGACTCGCAGACCGACCCCTGGGACCCTGGAGCATCTGGAGGACTCCGCGAGCAAGGGCCTCTCGGATCTCACCGCCACGGCGCAGAAAGCCGACGAATGTCTCGCGGCCCCGCGCGAGGCCGAGACCATCGCGAAGCAGTGCCTCGACGGGCTATAACAGTCGCGCGCCGGTGCCCCCCTTGCAGGCGCGAGCTCCACCCGGGAGAGCATCAAGAACGAGCGCGTGCAGATGGCTGTGGGCCACGAAGTCTTCGTGGGCAGCTAGCGCGTTGAGCTCAAGGCCACCGCGGACGCCGCGAAGATCCTGGAGGACGCCGAAGTCGCGGTCGCGACGCAGAGCTACAGCTTCGCGCAACCTTCACGTCGCATCTCGCAGATACTGACGTCCACGAACTGGGAGACATTTGAGGTCCATTGCGGTTCAGACAACGGAGGCAATCACCGCGGCGGTGCAGCAGCTGGCCAGCAAGCGCTGCTTCCTGGGCCTCGCGCTGCTCGCGTCGCCAATGGAGGCGGCGATGCGTCTTGGCGTCGACGAGGAACCTTTCGTGGAGGAGGGGCCCTCCTCGCGGACATCGTCGTCGAGCTGAGTTCGGAGATCTCCGAATCCGTCGAGGATGGGTTTGGCGCGCCAGTGCAGCTCCGCTGCGCGGCGCCGCCTGGCCTTCGAGGTCATTCTACATTTCCTCCTCGCTCATCGCTCCTGCGTTGGCCCCCCGGGTGGGCACTTACTCACCGACAGCGGCCTGGCGGTGTGACCGCCATCGGGGGCGGCGAAAGGGGCGTGGCGCTGCCTAACCCAGCTCGCGCCAGTGCATCGCTGGTGCCACATCATGACAGCGCCCTTACACCGACAGTGGCACGCTAGCGCATCGACGCGCGCGGCTGTGCCTGTCCCTGGGCGCCGCCGCCGAGGTCCTCGCCAGAATCGCTCGACATGTGACGTCAGCCACGCAGCCCGACTACGCCGCGCAGAAAGACGCGGCCGTTGCGGTTGTGCACGGCTCCACCTTGGGCAGGGACAGCTGGCCTAGCCAGCTTCGCCGCGCGGCTGCCCGCGGGGTGGGCCCCGCCGCGCCCGCGGCGCATCGACCGGAAGTCATGGCGCCTCCACCCGGCGCGGCATTTCCTCCTGGGCGCGCCGTGCAGCGCGTGCGCGCGCGCGCATTGCCGGCCGGCGCCGCGAGCCGATGGGCTCGAACGCGTCTGAGCCTTATGTGCCGTCTACAGTTTTACTTGGCGACTGAGCTACGTTGGGCATCGTGAGGGTGGCTTGGCTACGCGCTCACCAGCTGCCCAGCTTTGACGCTTCGACGCCGCCCGCGCGTCAAGGCGCCAGCACTTCAGCGCGCCGCCGCAAAGGTCAGTGCTGCAGCGCCGACCGCGTTTCCTTGCAGACAGGCCGCCATGCATCGCGGTGGGCTGGCACGTTGGCCACGTTGTGCTGCCGACGCGGGCGTCTACGAACGTCCGAGGTGGGCATCTGCGACGCGGCGCTGCTGCTGGCCGCTTCCAGACAGCGCGCGCCGCGTCGGTGCAACTCGGCGTTCTACAGACCAACGCGCGGGCCAGTCAACAGCCGAGATTGGCAAGCGCTAGCAGCTAGAGACGCGCTGCTGCAAACAGCTGGGCGAGCTGCGTCGGCGCGCCTACGAAGCAATGCGCGCGGGTGCTCTCCAGCTGCGCAGCTGCGCGAGCGCCGCGGCCGCCAGCTACGCCCTCGGCGCCCACTCATAGAAGGGTGCCGAAGGCTTGCGGCTTCGACGACAGTGCGCAAGATGCAGAGCCACGGAGCGTGCCTGGCTGGCAGGCCCGACCGGTGCCGCGGCGCGAGTGCACGCCAGGCACGATTTGTGCCAGGCCCCCCACTAGCAGTGCCTTGCTCCTGGCTGCCCGGGAACATCAGCCGGTCGACGCATCGCATTGGGCAAGGAGCCTGTCCTTAGGCCCCCTCTGCTGTGGGGCGCCGTTATGATTGGGCAGCCCTTGCCGCGGGCAGCGCATCACGCGCGTGCGCTGGCCATGGTCAGGCGAGCGCGCGTTGCTCTCCAGGTTTCACCGCGCCACCGTTAGGGCTGAGGCTACTAAATCACGTGCGAGTTGCACGAGGCAGCCGGCTGTTAGATGCGTCTGATCAACGCTGCGCAGCGACTGCTTCATCGCCTCTCTTCGCGTGCTCTTCCGTGACGAGAAGCGCTTCGGACGGGCGCATCTCATTGCCTGGTGGCCCCAGCTCGAATAGGATCCGTGCGCTCACAGCGCGCGCGATATCAGCCGCCAAGAGGGAAAAGGGCCGCCGCTATGCTCTTATGATTGCCGCCATGCCTTCGACCTTTCATAACGAATACCCGCATTTCCACTCCTCCTCCTCCTCCTCCTCCTCCTCCTCCTCCTCCTCCTCCTCCCGCTGCGAGGACAAGCTGAGGCGCACCCTGCTCGGCGCGTGGGCGGTGGAGGCGTGCCTGGCGCACCTCAACGACCTCAGCCTGTGCGCCCACAGCAGCGCCGGCCCGCCTTCGCCTTCTCTCCCTCGGGGGGGCCGCCTGCGGCAAAAATGCTTGCCGCCGTGCCAGGGCAGCGTCGGAGTGCACGGGGGGGAATGCCTAGAAGGGGCGTTCCAGAAAAGGGCCGTGCATTCGAATATCGACGGAGTTAGCATCCCTGTCTCGGAGGAAGGCGGCGGAGGCGGAAGCAAAACGCCAGGCACGATTTCTGCCGCATATTGCTCAGTGCATGCTCCCCATCGCGCCTCCCACGCGGGCTTCAGCTTCTCGTACAGCACGATTAGTTGCGCCGTTTCGCACGGTGATCTTAATTGAGCCCACCACGAGACCTCCAGTGCCGAGCTGACTCATGGGAGGTAGTGCGCCGAAAGGAAGGCCAGCGGGAGCCAGCAACATTGAGCGACGGGCGTGAAGGTTCGGGGCCTTCCCGGAGCTCCCAGATCTGTCCGAAGTGGGTGCGTTGTCTCCAAAACGCCAACCACGGCATCTCGAAAATGGTGACGGGCCGACGTTCCCGCCACCGCCCAGATACACGCAAAATGGCCCCACCGATGTATATCGGGCTCGTTGCACGGTTGCCGCGTTGCATGTTGGGTGCTTTCCTGGGTCTCCTTGAAGGTTTCGTCGGCCTTTTTGGGCTTGTCTTTCGTGGCTGTTGATGAAGGGCTTGTCTGTTTGGGACTTTGTTGCCTTCTCGAGCGCAGTTGTTTCTCTGAGCTCCCCGTTCAGAGGCTCGGAAGAGTCATCTTGGGGCTGTTTGGACATTGGGCGCCGTCTTCGAGAGACCGTCTTGAGTATCTCGGAAGGCTTCTTGAGGCCGTCGGAAGCGGAACATTTCATGCATTGCTACGTCTTGCTTCCAAATATCTTGCCCAAGAGTTCCTTGGGTGCCATTTGGGGGTTTCTTGGAGTCTCTAGGGGTTTTCTCGACGAATTCGAGAGAGTCTTGGGACCTCTGTTGCGTTGTCGGGCCGTCTCTGGCTGCTGTCCGGTCATCTTGCCGCCGTGTTGGGACGGTCCTGGGGCCGTCTTGGGGCCATTTCGGGGCCGAGAAGAGGGCAGGAAGCACCACGCATGGGAACCGATCTTTTCAAGGCGGCCGCAGCGAAGGGCCAGGAACGGGGGGGCGAGGGGGACCTGGAAAGCTACATGGGCCCCGCAAGACGGCCGGCAGGCATTCTCACTCGTCCCCGCGTGCCAACAGCACAGTGGCGGACCCTGACGTCGGATTGGTTCCTCGACCCCCAGAAAAAAAGGGGAACGAATGATCTCAGGAAGGGTGACTCCTTCGCCCGCCACCGCCTCCGCCCCCTCCTCCTCGTCGTCGTGGTCCTCGTCCTCCGCGCCCTCGCGATCCTCGTCCACGTCCTCGTCGTCCTCGTCCTCCTCGTCCTCGTCCACACCCTCGTCGTCCTCCTCGCCCCTCCCCCCCGTCTTCCTCATCCCCTGTCCCCCTCCTCGCCCTCGTCCGCCGCCGCCGCCCGCCGCCGCCTCGCCCTCCGCCCGCGCCTCCCCCCCCGTCGGCGGACACAGGCCGCGCCGCGCTGGACGAGGGGCGCGCTCGGCTGCAGGCCCTGCTGCAGGGCTGCCGGGACCTGGACACGCACGGGCTGGTGCCCCGAGGGGGGGAAACCGATCGGCGCGGGCACCTCGAAGTCCTGGTCAGAGCACGCCCCAGGACGTGTCTGGAGGGTTGTTTTGGAGAGGGAGGAGGCGGCGGAGGAGGAGGAGGAGTTGGAGGAGGAGGAGGAGGAGGAGGAGGAGGAGGAGGAGGAGGAGGAGGGGGAGGAGGAGGGGGAGGAGGAGGAGGAGGAGGGAGGAGGAGGAGAAGGAGGCGGAGGAGAAGGAGGCGGAGGAGGAGGAGGAGGAGGGACCAGTGTAAACTCAAGGCGCATCATTGATGTTGCAGTCAACCCTCTCTCCCAGCTCCGTCTTCGTAGAGCCCTACAAGAATTTGTTTTCATTACGGGGAGTGTCCCATTGAACGATTTGAAGAGAATCGTCAAATAATCCCCAGTCGTGCCAACCCACAGTTCCTGGGCTTTCAGCGTCGCTAATCAATCTGACTGTTGAGTCCTGGCAGTCCTAATTGGTGCCAGAACGCCGTTCTTGGGACTCCAGTGCCGCGAAGCAACATGGATGAACACCATTCCTGGCTTTTCGAACATACAGAGTGCTCATTTCTAATTCGTGTGCTGCACGTGGCCTCCGCCGCCCCTTCGGCGCGCTTCATTTTTAATTCGTGGCCGGAATTGCAAATGACCGGAATTAGAAATGAACGCGCTTGTTAGGCCCCGGAGGCCCCAGTGCAAATGCATTCGAGCGCGCGCCCGAGTCTGGATCTGGGGCGCGCCATCCTTGATCGGGCACGCGTAGACGTGACGCGCAAATCCTGCGTGTCGCGCAAACGTGACACGCAAAATCTGCGTGTCACACGGAGCGCGCCTGGGGCGGGACACGCAGAATCAGGGGGGCGGACACGCAAAATCTGCGTGTCGCACGCCGGGGGTCCAGGGGCTGGGGTGGGGACACGCAGAATCTGCGTGTCACGCGGGCCCCACCAGGGGGGCGGTCACGCAGAATCTGCGTGTCGCACGCCAGGGGTCCTGGGGGCCAGGGTGGGGACACGCAGAATCTGCGTGTCACGCGGGCCCAAAATGTGCGTGTCGCACGCCGGGGGTCCGGGAGCCAGGGTGGGGACACGCAGAATCTGCGTGTCACGCGGGCCCCACCAGGGGGACGGACACGCAAAATCTGCGTGTCGCACGCCGGGGGTCTGGGGGCCGGGGTGTGGACACGCAGAATCTGCGTGTCACGCGGGCCCCACCAGGGGGGCGGTCACGCAGAATCTGCGTGTCGCACGCCAGGGGTCCTGGAGGCCGGGGTGGGGACACGCAGAATCTGCGTGTCACGCGGACCAATCTGCGTGTCGCACTCCGGGTGTCCGGGGGGCCGGGGTCGGGACACGCAGAATCTGGGTGTCACGCGGGCCCCATGCAGCAGGTGGGGCCAAGGGCCGGGGACCTTGGCGCTCCCCGAGGTCCAGAGGCCGGGGGCCAGGGCCGGGACATGCAGAATTTGCGTGTCACCTCGAGAACGCCGCGCAGGGGCACGCAGAATTTGCGTGTCACAGGGGCTCAAAATCTGCGTGTCGCACGCCGGGGGTCCGTGGGCTGGGGTGGGGACACGCAGAATCTGCGTGTCACGCGGGCCCCACCAGGGGGGCGGACACGCAAAATCTGCGTGTCGCACGCCAGGGGTCCTGGGGGCTGGGGGGGGGTCTGCGCACGCGGGCTGGGGTGGAATCACGCAGAATCTGCGTGTCACGCGGGCCCCACCAGGGGGGCGGACACGCAAAATCTGCGTGTCGCACGCCAGGGGTCCCGGGGCTGGGGTGGGGACGCGCAGAATCTGCGTGTCACGCGGGCACCACCAGGGGGGCGGACACGCAGAATCTGCGTGTCGCACGCTGGGGTCCGGGGGCCGGGGTGGGGACACGCAGAATCTGCGTGTCACGCGGGCCCCACCAGGGGGGCGGACACGCAGAATCTGCGTGTCGCGCGCCGGGGGTCCCGGGGGCCGGGGTGGGGACACGCAGAATCTGCGTGTCACGCGGGCCCCAAATCTGCGTGTCGCACGCCAGGAGTCCAGGGGCCGGGGTGGGGACACGCAGAATCTGCGTGTCACGCGGGCCCCACCAGGGGGGCGGACACGCAGAATCTGCGTGTCGCGCGCCGGGTGTCCTGAGGCCGGGGTGGGGACACGCAGAATCTGCGTGTCACGCGGGCCCAAAATCTGCGTGTCGCACGCCGGGTCCGGGGGCCGGGTGGGGACACGCAGAATCTGCGTGTCACGCGGGCCCCACCAGGGGGGCGGACACGCAGAATCTGCGTGTCGCACGCCGGGGGTCCTGTGGGGACACGCAGAATCTGCGTGTCACGCGGGCCCAAAATCTGCGTGTCGCACGCCGGGTCCGGGGGCCGGGGTGGGGACACGCAGAATCTGCGTGTCACGGGGGCCCCACCATGGGGGCGGACACGCAGAATCTGCGTGTCGCGCGCCGGGTGTCCCTGAGGCCGGGGTGGGGACACGCAGAATCTGCGTGTCACGCGGGCCCAAAATCTGGTGTCGCACGCCGGGTCGGGGGCCGGGGTGGGGACACGCAGAATCTGCGTGTCACCCGGGCCCCACCAGGGGGGCGGACACGCAGAATCTGCGTGTCGCGCGCCGGGTGTCCGGGGGCCGGGGTGGGGACACGCAGAATCTGCGTGTCACGCGGGCCCAAAATCTGCGTGTCGCACGCCAGGGGTCCGGGGGCCGGGGTGGGGACACGCAGAATCTGCGTGTCACGCGGGCCCCGCCAGGGGGGCGGGCACGCAGAATCTGCGTGTCGCACGCCAAGCGTCCTGGGGCCGGGTGGGGACACGCAGAATCTGCGTGTCACGCGGGCCCAAAATCTGCGTGTCGCACGCCGGGTCCCGGGGGCCGGGGTGGGGACACGCAGAATCTGCGTGTCACGCGGGCCCCACCAGGGGGCGGACACGCAGAATCTGCGTGTCGCGCGCCGGGTGTCCTGGGGGCAGGGGTGGGGACATGCAGAATCTGCGTGTCACGCGGGCCCAAAATCTGCGCGTCGCACGCCGGGTCCGGGGGCCGGGGTGGGGACACGCAGAATCTGCGTGTCACGCGGGCCCCACCAGGGGGGCGGACACGCAGAATCTGCGTGTCGCACGCCGGGGGGGTCCGGGGGGGGACACGCAGAATCTGCGTGTCACGCGGGCCCAAAATCTGCGTGTCGGGTCCGGGGGCCGGGGTGGGACACGCAGGGGGGCGGACACGCAGAATCTGTGTGTCGCGCGCCGGGTGTCCCGGGGGCCGGGGTGGGGACACGCAGAATCTGCGTGTCACGCGGGCCCAAAATCTGCGTGTCGCACGCCGGGTCCGGGGGCCAGGGTGGGGACACGCAGAATCTGCGTGTCACGCGGGCCCCACCAGGGAGCCGGACACGCAGAATCTGTGTGTCGCGCGCCGGGTGTCCCGGGGGCCGGGGTGGGGACACGCAGAATCTGCGTGTCACGCGGGCCCCAGCAGGAGGGGGCCAAGGGCCGGGGACCATGGCGCTCCCGGAGGTCCAGAGGCCGGGGGCCAGGGCCGGGACATGCAGAATCTGCGTGTCACCTCGAGAACGCCGCGCAGGGACACGCAGAATTTCCGTGTCACGGAGGCGTTCGCGTCTGCGCGACACGCGAAGCCTGCGTGTCAGTCACTCGGCGGGGCCTTGAGGCTTCAGACTGACGTGACACGGAACGCGCTCGGGGCGGCGTCGCGTAAGTAAACGTGATACGCAAATCCTGCGTGTCACCCGGAACGCGCTCGGAGCGGCCGGGCGACGCGACACGCAGGATTTGCGTGTCGCGTAGACGTGACACGCAAATCCTGCGTGTCACACGGAACGGCGACGACGTTGCTGTTGCCGTTATTATTTTCATCTTTTACGAGCGTAAGCAGAAGCTGCGCCCTGACGCGCCTTGGAGACACGTTGGGCGTAGCGCTTGAGCACATGCCTTCCCGTCGGCACCTCTCATTTGCAATTCGTGGCCGGAATTGGAAATGACCGGAATTACAAATGACCGGAATTACAAATGAGTGCTCTGTACGAATCCTTGAAGCTATTGCGAACTTTTGAAGCGAGTTCGCGCGGCTCTAAGGCGGGGGCCGCATTTTGAAAACGGCCCATCCTGCATCCTTGAAGCTACTGCGAACTTTCAAGACGAATGTGCGCGGCGCTATGGCGAGAGCCATATTTTGAACACGGCCCGCCCTCCATCTAGACGAGTGTGCGCGATGGTATTGTGATTGCCACAGTTTGAAAAAAGGAACCCGCCCTCCATTCTTGGAGCTGTTGCGAACTTTAAGAGGAATGTGCGATGCGCTGAGAGCCTAACGTGAGCACGGCCCGCCCTCCATTCTTGGAGCTGCTGTAACTGTTCACGACGAGTGTGCGCGGCGCTGAGGCGAGAGCCACATTTTGAGAACCAGCCGCTCTGCATTCTTGAAGCTGTTGCCGATTCCAAGCTTCAGGGTCATCAGTGGGGAGGACGCCTCAGGCAAAACGCCCGGCCCGCCCTACCGACACGTCTGGGGGTGCGACGAGGAGGAGCTGCTTATAACGAAAAGGGGTGGAGGAGGAGGAGGAGGAGGAGGAGGAGGCGGAGGAGGAGGAGGAGGAGGAGGAGGAGGAGGAGGAGGAGGAGAGGATCGATGAGGTTCCTCGAGATGCTCGAGGCCCGGAAGGGAAACTCACCGCAGCACGTACTGCAATCACCCTGCCAGGACCCCGACCTTTACGGGCCAGGCTAGGCCAGCCCACACCAGCGAAGCGAGGGGGCAGTGGAGATGTCTTTTCGAGCTTACCCATTGTCATTGAAGGTCGGTATTTTTGGATCCCCTGATCCCAATCTGCTTGGAGGTGTGCTTCTGTTTCAAGAGTCGAAGGGTTTCCCCTCTCTCCTCCTCTTCAGGGGGCGGCTGGATCCCCAGTCCACTTTCAACGCCTTCTTGCTTCATGCTTCTGCCTGCTTCTGTCAAACGATGGGTCAACTTTGAGAGGTTCCGCGCAGATCTCTCGGATCGGTGCTGCCCCCCCCTCCCTGGCGCTCGGAGAGCGCGCCAGGAGCACGGAGCGCGCATGGGGGCACTAGTGTGGCGGATTTCGTTCTGGAGCGGGCGAGAGGGGATTGGGAAAGTCGGCATGACATTCCGGAGGCCCGCGCTGATTTCTTGGATCGGCCCCTGGGCCTCCCTGGCGGTGGCTCCGCGCGCCAGGGAGGGGGGTCCAAGCGCCGACTTGGAGAGATCCGCGCTGACCTCCGACAGTGCATGCTCGTTGCGACCTCTTGTCTCGCAGGTGTACCACCTGCTGCAGTCCCACGGTTGGCTGGACGACCTCGTGATCTTCGCCGAGGCTCGCAGGGACTTCGCCACCGTGACGCTCCACCATGTTAGCCGCGGCGAGCACGCGGACGCCATCCGCAAACTGGACGACTTCTCCGCCACGGGCGCCGGCGTGGAGCTGGTTCGCCGGTTCGGGGCGTCGCTCTTCTGGGCGGAGCCCAAGGCCAACGATTTAGTCGCCTACCTCCTCCTCCTCCTCCTCCTCCTCCTCCTCCTCCTCCTCCTCCTCTGCTTCCTCCTCCTCCTCCTCCTCCTCCTCCTCCTCCTCCTCCTCCTCCCCCTCCTCTTCCTCCTCCTCCTCCTTCCCAGGGCCAGGTGTGCCCAGGAGCAGCGGGTCAGGGCCTCGCCGGGCATGGGGGGCGGCTGGAAGGCTGGCCGTTCTTTGCTTGCCCAGTCGAGGGTCTGTCCGATTGCTCCTGGGCCTCCTGGGCCTTCGGGCTAGGAGGAGGAGGAGGAGGAGTACCAGCCTGAGTCGTCTCTCTACCCCGTATGATTGGCGTCGCCTTATCTCGGTGCTGATCTTAAGGATTCCCGCAGTTTCTGAAGGCACACTTGGCCTTGGCCTTGTCGATCCTCGTGGTAGGGATAAGTTCGAGACCCGTTAGAAGAGGCGGAGGAGGGACCGAGCGTCCGACGGTGGCCCTGTGGTTCTTTTGCGGCTGTGGTCGGCCGTTCGTGCTTGGGGCCCCGTGGTCGGTGCCAGATGGTTGGTGCCGTATGGTGCCCCATGACTGCCAGGCGACACCCGGCAATGCCAGGCAATGCCAGGCAATACCAAGCAGTCCCAAGCAAAGCAATCAAAGCAAAGCAAAGCAAAGCAAAGCAAAGCAACGCAACGCCAAGAAACGCCAATCAAGCAAGTACAAGCCAAGCAACGCCATGCCGTCCAAGGCAATGCACATCAATGCCAAGCCAAGCAATACGATGTAAAACAATGCCATCCTTGATTAGTTCAGTACTTAGGAATCTTGTGCCTATTGGGGTCGCGCCGGGATTTATCCTAGATGTGGTTGCTATCGGTTGGCCATTCGGCAGCGTGGGATCATAGATTCGCGGAGAATATGGATGGAAACGGTAGGAGGAGGCGGACGAGGTGGGGGGGGGTGGAAAAGGACGATGATTTATTGTTATTATTCGGAGGAGGAGGAGGAGGAGGAGGAGGAGGGAGGAGGAGGAGGAGGAGGAGGAGGAGGAGGAGGAGTAGGAGGAAGAGGCGGAGGAGGAAGAGGAGGAGGAGGAGGAGGATGATGATGATGAGGAGGAGGAGGAGGACGAGGAGGAGGAGGAGGAGGAGGAGCATGAGGGAGCAGGAGGAGGAGGAGGAGGAGAAGGAAGACGGATGAGGAATATAATGGGGTGGAGGAGGACGACAAGGAGGAGCAATTTCTGAGGAGGGGGAGGAGGAGGAACAGGAGGAGCACGATGTCGACGAGGAGCGGGAGGTCGAGCGGGCGCGGCCCAGAGGCCTTTGTGTCGCTGATGCTGCGGCCGCAGCTGAGCGGCGTGGGGCCCGCCTCCGCGCTGCCGGCGGTCTGCAGGCCCCCGCGGGGGAACAGGGGCGGGGCAACCTCTCGGGGGCAACGTGCGGGCGGGAGGGGGGAGATCGGGAGGGGAAGAAACACGGAGACACCATGACTCGTCGATTCCCAGGGAAAGGTGGGGAAATGCGGGAAGTGTGGGGGGGGGGGAAGACGAAAACCCAGAACATATGAGAAGCATGTGGGGAATCCGGGATGGGTGTATATTTGTATGTCCCTGGGAAAATAAAGGATAGTCTCAGGGGCAACGGCTAGGGGATTTTCGCTGTCTGGAGTTTTTTTGATCTTCCTGCGCCGCCGCCGTGACCACGGCCGGACCCGCCTCGAGATGCTGGCCAGGGCGCGCCCGAGGAGAGGTCCGGGGAGCTCGGTCGTCGACCCCTGTTCGAAGTTCCAGAGTTTCGAGGTCAGGTTTTTTCCGGCGTGGCCGTCGCTCCTCCGCGGCTTCTCCGCCTCGGGGGTGCTCGCCGGCAGCCGCGCCTCGCCGAGAGCGTGCGGTGTGTGTGTGTGTGTGCACGGGTCAGGAGGGAAAGAAACACACAGACACAATCAATCGTCGACTCCCAGGAAAATATGGGAAAGTATGGGAAGTGGGGGGAAGACAAGAACCCAGAAAGTATGGGAAATTCTTTGTACTTGTGTGTATTTGCTCGTGTGTCCTGGGGCCCCTTCAGCGGGCCGTCCCGAGCGGCCGCCGGAGCGCCGAGCCGCGAGCCGAGGGCGGAGGGGCGGCGTTTCGGGGGGGGGGACGCCTCGGCTCCGGGGGGGGGCGCCTGGGCCCCGCCTCGCCCACGGATCGCCGTCAGGGGCGCGCTGGCCCGCCCCGCGGCGGAGGATGCGGATTCGCAGTCGGTGGCCTTAGGGGAACAAAAAGTGGCATAAACATAAAAGCTCGGAGGTCCGCGCGGATTTCTCGGATCGGCACCCTGTCGGCGATGCGTCGCCGATTCGAGCGAAGAGGCCCAGCGGCAGGGAGAGAGAGAGAGAGAGAGAGAGAGAAAGAGAGAGAGAGAGAGAGAAGGAGGGTGCCGAAGAGGGGAGGAGGGGGGAGGGCGGAAACGTGGCGGGGGGCGCGGATTCCGAATTCTGGCTGTGCGGCACCATGCGCGCGTGCGGCCCCGCGCGCCAGTCAGCCTCGCGCCCGCCAGGCACGCCCGAACAGGGAGGGGGGCCCCAGCACGCTGGAGGGGTGCACGTTGGGCTCCCTTCGGGCGGATCGAAGGTCGCCACGAAGGAAAGGGGCCTGAAGAAAGCGGGTCCTGTTCCTCCTTGCTCCTTCCGCTTCCTCCTCCTCCTCCTCCTCCTCCTCCTCCTCCTCCTCCTCACACCTTCCTTCCTCCTCCCCCTCCTCCTTCCTCCTCCTTCATTCCCCCTACTCATACATCCTCTCCCTTCTTCTTCTCTCTTCCTTCCTCTTCCTCCCTCCTTCCTCCTTCTCCTTCCTCCTCCTCTCCCCTCCTTCCTCCTTCCTCCATCCTCCTCCTCCTCCTTCCTCCTCGTCCCTCCTTCCTCCTCGTCCCTCCTCCCTCCTCCTCCTCCTCGCTCCTCCTCGTCCCTCCTCCTCCTCCTCCTGCTCCTCCTCCGCTTCGTCCTCCTCCTCCTCATCCTCCTCCTCCTCCTCCTCCTCCTCCTCGGCTGGCGCTCAGCACGGCGGGGCCTCTCTTTCCTCTCAGTGGGGCGGGGCCGGCAGACCTTCGACGCCTCGGAATCCCCCAAAGGGGCTGTCCCCCAGCGCGGGTGTTTCCGGGCCCCTCCTCCTCCTCCTCCTCCTCCTCCCCCCTCCTCCTCCTCCTCCTCCTCCTCCTCCTCCTCCTCCTCCTCCTCCTCTTCCGCCCACCCGTGCGGGGGAGGAGGCTGCCAAACGGAAGGGGCCTCGGGCGGACGGGCAGCGCGGCCGGCCCCGCCGGGGGGGGGTCGGGAAGGAGGGGGAGGCCGACGGGGGAGCGCGCGAGGATCCACGAATCGGATCGCAGACAGTCGAAGGAGACCACAAACGCGTCAAAAGAAGCTTCTGGTGCTCCGCGCGGATCTCTTGGCGATCCGCGCTGGGCCCCCCGGCGGCGCATCTGGCACGCTCCGCGCGCCAGGGAGTGGGGTCCAGCGCAGAGCCAAGAAATCCGCGCGGGGCGCCAAACATGGATCATGCCGCGCGGATCAGCGACGTGCCCCGTCTCCAGGCGGCGCTGGTGCCATGCTCCGGGGGCTCGCTTCCCCAGTCGCGGATCTGGCGCCCACGCGCCAGGGACACCGAGGCTCGACTCTAGCAGTCGCCAGAGACACGTCCTGGAGCCATGCGAGCAACAATTGTTGAAGCTTCGCGTGTCCCCACCAGCTTGAGGCGCCGCTTAGGCAGCTTAGGCAGTTTAGGTGCGCGGCTCTAGTTTGCTCCTGTTGTCAATTAGTAGGCCCGCGCCCCGGACTTACGACTCGCCGCTTGCGCTCTCGCCTGCGGCCGCGACCAAAAAACTTATCCCCACCAGCTCCCCTCACGCCAGCCCGTCCGCCGAGGCGCTGCTGAGGTCGCCGGCCCGTCGGCGTTAGGCAATTCGGCTCTTGCGCGGCCCGCTTGGACCTTACTCGCCGCTGGCGCCCTCGCTTGCGGTTGCGACAAAAAGTATCCCCACCAGCCCATCCAGAAAGCCAAGGCGAGCTCCTCGGATGCCTCTTGTAAGCTTTCTGGAGGCCTCTTGGAGCGTCCTAGGGGCCTCTTGGCGGTCCCGTGAGCTAGGCAAGCAACACATTCATCGTTTGTTTCACCGTGCGATCCACGGATCCGCAGTCCATGTTAGCGTGCGCCCGGAGGAAGAGGAGGAGCAGAAGGAGGAGGAGGCGGAGGAGGAGGATAATGATGATGATGATGATGATGATGATGATGATGATGATGATGATGATGATGATGATGTTGATGATGATGATGATGATGATGATGATGATGATGATGATGATGATGATGATGATGCCGAGGAGGAGGAGGAGGCGGAGGAGGAGGAGGAGGAGGAGGAGAGGATCGATGAGGTTCCTCGAGATGCTCGAGGCCCAGAAGGGAAGCCCATCGTCTGCTTCATCGTGCGATCCACGGATCCGCAGTCCATGTCAGCGTGCGCCCCCGGAGACGCCCAGAGCCGCCCGCCCCTCCCGCCCTCGAGGCCCGGGTGGCCGCCGACGCACCATGCGCAGGCATTGCGGTACCTGGAGCACGCGGCGAGGCATCCCTCTGAGCCCGCCGAGAAGGCGCCGGCCGTCTGGGAAGGAGGGGGGCCGTGGATCGCCTATAACGATGGTGATGATGATGATGATGCTGATGATGCTGATGCTGATGCTGCTGCTGCTGCTGATGATGATGATGTTGATGAAGATGATGATGATGATGATGATGATGATGATGATGATGATGATGATGATGATGATGCTGATGATGATGATGATGATGATTCTGATGATGATGACGATGATTATGATTATGACGATGATGTTGATGGCGATGGTGATGGTGATGCTGATGCTGGTGATGCTGATGCTGATGATGCTGCTGATGATGGTGATAATGATGATGATGATGATGATGATGATGATGATGATGATGATGATGACTGTGGTGATGATGATGATGCTGGTGATAGTGATGATGATGATGACTGTGGTGATGGTGATGGTGATGGTTATGGTGATGGTGATGATGTTGTTCTTGCTAATGATGTCGATACTGATGATGCTGATGATCATGATAATTCTGATTGTGATGATGATGCTGATGCTTATGGTGGTGATGCTGATGATGATGGCGGTGATGATGGTGATGCTGATGTTGTTGTTGATTGTGATGATGGTGACGGTGCTGATGTTAATTGTGTGTCTGATGGTGATGCAGATGATGACGGTGCTGATGAGGATGATGATTGCGTCTTGTTGATGATGGTGATGGTGCTGCTGATGATGATGATGATGATGATGATGAAGATGTTGACGATGATGACAACTATGCTGGTGCTTGTGACGAGGTTTTTGATGATGTCCATGATGAAGATGACGGTGACGAGTTGATGATTTTGGTGACGTTGGTGATGTTGGTGATGGTCACGATGAGGATGCTGGTGACGCTGATGATGATGATGATGATGATGGTGGTGGTGATGATGACGATGTTGGTGATGTGGTTGTTGATTAAGATGGTGATGCTGCTATTGTCTTTGATGCTGCTAATGATGGTGATGTTGCCGATGCTGATGATGGTGGTGATAACGATAACGATGATGTTATCGTTGATTATGACCGTGGTGGTGATGATGATGTTGGTGAAAGTGATGATGCTGATGCTGATGATGATGATGATGATGATGCTGATGATGCTGATGATGATGAGGATGATGATGCTGATGATGATGACGATAAAAATGGTTTCCTCCTTTGTCTGAAGACTGTCTCTTCTACGGTGCTGGCTCAGCTTGCGGTGTAAGCACACGCTGCACACAGCAGGAAACATGTGACGTTCGTGACAGCGCCGTCCTGCCGCCCTTGCGGCATGAACGTCTAGTGTGAACAGGGTGCCCATCATGGGCACTGCTCGCACGCTGGGGTGGGCAGATGAGCCGGGAACGGACAGGACCAGGGGTGCCCTCAAAGTGGGCATGCTCTGAGGTCCGTAACCAAAACGATGTGAGTGATGTGTCTTGTATCTTGCAACAGGTTTGTATGCGAAGAGTTGACAATGTTGTGTGGATGTTGGCAAACTGCATGCTATCAACTGACAGTCCCGAGTTCGACTTCGGCATGGCGCGAGTGCTCAACGCGCCAGAGCTGGACTCCGGCGGATGTCTCGAGTGATCGTTGAACTCTTCTGTCGTTGTTGTGGCCCTTTTTGAGACCAGCAGCAGCGCCATGGACAGCAGCGCAGCCGCAGCAGCCCCAGCCACAGCCGCAGGCCGCCGCAGCAGCGCAGCCGCAGCAGTCCTATCCACCTTGTTTGGTCGCCTCAGAAAGGGACGTGACAGGGACGTCCTGGCAGACGGAAAAGTAGCAATGATCGTCAGAAAGAAGGGGCGTCGCAGGTGCATTCTGTCCGTATTTCGAACGCTCCCACGAGCGCCTAACTAAGGGATTAGGTGGCTCACACCCCTGGGCCGTGGTAGGTGCCCGTTCTGACAGCCGGGGGAGGCTGAGATGTCACGAGCGAAGGGCGAGTTGTTTATTCCTTTCTCTGAAGGCAATCCCTGCTACGTTGCTGGCTCAGTCTGCGGTGTAAGCAGACGCTGCACACAGTCGGACCCGGGTGTCGTTCGTGACAGCGCCGTCCTGCAGCTCTTGCGGCATCAACGTCTAGTGTGAACAGGGTGCCCATCATGGGCAGTGCTCGCACGTTGGGGTGGGCAGATGAGCCGGGGACGGACAGGACCAGGGGTGCCCTCAAAGTGGGCATGTTCTGAGGTCCGTAACCAAGAGGATGTGAGTTGTGTTTCTTGTAGTTTGCAGCGCGTTTGTATGCGATGAGTTTCCAGTTTTGTGGAGATGTCGGCGAACTGCAGATGGAAATGATGATGATATGGCGATTGTGATGAGGGTGATGACTGTATTTATGTTGTTGTTAACGATGGTGGTTCGGATGATGATGACGATGCTGCTGTCTACAACTGTGATTTTGGTGATGTTGGTAATGTTCATGCTGATGGTGATGGTGATGATGATGATGCTTTGGATGGCGATTTTGTTGGTGATGCTGATTATGTTCATGATTGTGCTGATGCTGTTGGTGCTGTTTATGGTGGCCATGACAGTGGTGACGATGATAGAGTTGATTGTGAAGATGTTGTCGGTTGTGGTGATTTTGCGGGTGCTGTTGCTGAAACGGATGATGTTGGTGATGCTGATAGGTATGGCATTGTTGTTGCTGTTAAGGGTGATGATGACATGGGTGATGATGGCGTTGCTGATTGTGACGATGGTGGGGGTGTTGATGATGCCAAATACGATGAGGTTGATGGTATTGATGCTGCTGATGATGATGATGTGACTGACGATGATACTGCTGACAGTGATGCTGCTGATGGTGCTTGTGATGATGTTGTTGTTGAATGTGAATTTGTCGATATATGCATGTGACGACCATGCTGATGATTATGATCTGGGTAATCGCGACTAGGAGTATGGCGTTGACTGTTTTATGATTCTGATGATGCCGTTGTTGAGCAACGGTGACGATCGTGAGGAGGAATGCAAGGATGCTGCCGCTGCTGAAGACGATGCTGCTGATGGGAAGGCACTTGAGGAGCTGGATGAGGCCGATGCTGCTGATGGTGATGCTGATGCTGATTATGAGGATACTGGTGAGGATGCTGCCGTTGGTGACGATCATGTTGCTGATGGTGATGCGGGTGGTTCGATGATGGCGGCAACGGCCATGATGATGGTGGTGATGACGATGATGGCGATGTTGCTGCTGATGGTGATGATGATGTTGGTCAGTATGACATTCGGCTGATGATTATGACGGTGATGCTGCTGATGATGCTGTTGCTGATGATGGTGGTGATACTTCTGATGTTTGTGATGGTAGTGATGATGGCAGCGGTGATGATGTTGCTGATGGTGATGGTGATGCTGCTGCTGCTGCTGCTTATGATGGCGGTTGTAATGATGTTGGGGGTGATGACGGTGATGATGCTGATGATGATGATGTTGGTGGTGGTGGTGGTTGTAGTGTTGATTGTTGTGGTGATAACGATGACGAGGATGAATCGTATAATGCGGAGGAGCTCGTGGATTATGAGGAGGGCAATGAAGATGATGATGCTGATGCTGATGATGATGATGATGATGATGAAGAAGATGATGCTGATGATGATGATGATGCTGATGATCGTGATTATGCTGATGATGGTGATGGTGATGCTGGTGATGATGATGATGATGATGCTGATGATGATGATGATGATGATGATGATGATGATGATGATGATGATGATGATGATGATGATGATGATGATGATGATGAGTGAGGCTGATGATGATGCTGATGATGATCATGAGGAAGAAGGGGAGGAGGAGAAACAGGAGGAGGAGCAGGAGGAGGAGCAGGAAGAAAGGTCGAGCCGCCAGGGCAGCAGGAGGCGAGACAGGATGCGAAGGAGGATGTCCTGGAAGGCGGAGTCCCCGCGGTCCCGCAGTTCTGCGGAAGGGGCGGCCCTGCGAGGCGCCCGTGGTGCTCGGCGCTTCGTTCTGCGACGAGGGTGGCGCGGGCGCCGATGCGGAGGCCCGCGGCGCGCGCAAAGTGAGGGCGAGCGAGGGGGACGACGAGGAGGGGGACGAAAAAGGGCAATGAGGAGGAGAAATGGAAGGAGAAGGAGGGGGAGGAGGAGGAGGAGGAGGAGGAGGAGGAGGAGAGGAGGAGGAGGAGGCGGAGGAGGAGGAGAGCAGGAGAGGAGGAGGAGGAGGAGGGAGGAACAGGAGGAGGAGGAGAGAGGAGGAGGAAGGAGGAGGAGGGAGGAGGAGGAGGAGGAGGAGGAGGAAAAAGGAGGAGGAGGATGATGAGGAAGAGAGGAGGAGGAGGAGGAGGAGGAGGAGGAGGAGGAGGAGGAGGAGGAGGAGAGGACGAGGATAAAACGAGGAGGAGGAGGACGAGGAGGCGGGGGAGGGAGGAGGAGGAGGAGGAGGAGGAGGAGGAGGAGGAGGAGGAGAGGAGGAGGAGGAAGAGGAAGAGGAGGAGGAGGAGGCGGAGGAGGAGGAGCAGGAGGAGGAGGAGGAGGAGGAGGAGGCGGAGAGGCGGAGGAGGAGGAGGAGGAGGAGGAGGCGGAGGAGGAGGAGGAGGAGGAGGAGGAGGAGGAAGAGGAGGAGGAGGAGGAGGCGGAGGAGGCGGAGGAGGAGGAGGGGGAGGAGGCGGAGGAGGAGGAGGAGGAGGACGGGGAGGAGGCAGAGGAGGAGGAGGCGGAGGAGGAGGAGGAGGAGGAGGAAGAGGAGGAGGATGATTAATCATGATATTAACAGTTCTCATACAGCAATACAGGTGATGATCATGCTGATAATAGTATGGATAATACGAATACGAACATTCATATTGATACTAACATGAATGATATTAAGAAGACTGGTACGAATACTCAGGATATCAATTAAATGAAGAAGACCACACATACTATTAATAGTACTTCGTAGTGAAATACTAATGATACGAATGCTAATCATAAGTAGACTATGAGAAGAATACCATGGATATCAATAAGGGGAACAATACCAGTATTACGAATAATCGTAATACTGAGACGAGTAATAAGAATACGACGAATAATAAAACGAAGACAACGAGTAATACTAACCAGATAATAATACTACTCATGATACGATTAAGAAGCAATGAGAATACACATACGAGGATGTACGCTAAGACGGACACGAGTACTAATAACACAAGTAGTACTACTACTAATAATCATAATAATAATAGTGATACTGGTACTACTACTAATAATAATATTACTAATGGTAATGATACTACTAATGCTACTACTACTACTACTACTACTACCACTACTACTAGTAATACTAATATTTTAAATAATAACACTACGCATGAAATACTAATACTGATAGTAATAATAGTTGTAATACTAATTATAATATTACTAATACTCATACTGACAATAATAATACCAATAATACTAGTAATACAGTTACTACTACCACTACTAATACTGATACTACTAATACTACTACTACTAATACTACTACTCTTGATACTAATACTAGTAATACAATTAATAATAATAGTATCAATAATCTTTTACGAATACTCATAATACTGATAATAATGATACTAAGAATGGGACTAATATTATTAAGAATAGTAATAACAATAATGCTGATAAGAGGAGGAGGAGGAAAAGGAGGAAGAGGAGGAGGAAGAGGAAGAGGAGAAGGAGGAGGAGCAGGATGAGGAGGAGAAGGAGGAGGAGGAGGACGAGGAGGAGGACGAGGAAGAGGAGGAGGAGGAGGAGGAGGAGTTGGAGGAGGAGGAAGATGGGGAGGAGGCGGAGCTAGGTGTCCCAAGAGGCAGCCACCACCAGGGTATGACATGTGTCGGTTCACGGCCAATTTGCGGGGATGCCTCAAGCGAAACGCTTTCATTTCAGAGCCCCATGGCTTCCGCAATGTAGCTGGCTCGGCATTTGGGCACCCAAGGGGAGACCCAGTCAGCCGCACTCACTCTCACTCACAGTCATATTCGGTCATCACAGATATTCACAGAACAGGGAACCTGCCAGAAACGAGATGCACATGATAGGGATCCCCGCGTATAACTGTTTGCTCCTCCAACGGAGGGAGGGTTCTTCTCGGATGCCCTCTGCTTTCGTCTCCCCCCCAACCCATCTCCGAATCGGGGTCCTCGTTTTGCACAGAGTGCTGCTCCCATCCGTCCTCCTCCCGCCTCCTACCCTCCGCGCTGTCGCTCGTGGGCGGGACACATATCCATAGCGACGGCCTCGTGGGCTGGGCACCTGGGCCGCGACCTTATGGGTCTAGGGTGTTTTCCGCCGATGCCCCGCGCGGAACGTATCCATACGACCGCGTAGCAAGGGACCGCGCCCCAAAGCCCAGACCGCGAGGGCGTGGACTTGGACATGTCCGCCGCCCGTGAGCCGCACCTCCGGACCCACCTTGGCTCAGGATGTGCCTCAGCAGCGGTGCGCCCCTTTAGGTGCCGCCCCGGCGTAGGCATGGCCTAGGGTGGGCAACACACCAGAGGTCACTCCGGCGACCAGGGAGGGAGGGAGGGAGGAGGGAGGGAGGGAGGGAGGGAGGGAGGGAGGG